GACATGTACACACACGGCAGTGCTCAACTGTTTTACGGCGAACAATATTTCGGCCGTGTCCCAAACAGCATCCTTCCCTACCATAAGCCTGTAGTGGGGAAAAATACATGTATCTCACCTACTATATAGACTTTAAGCAGCCGGTTTGGGACACACCCACGGCTTCAAGCTGTTGTCTATCAGCATGTACACCGTGACAAATAATTAACTGCACTTAAAGCATTTCTTAAAAAATAAAAATAAATAAAAACACTCAAAAGTGTATATGGTACCATAACAAAAATTAACTGTATGTTGATACGTGAAATTCTGGAGGGGACGTTGGACGGCATGGCACGGTAATGTAATGACGCAGTGCAGTGTCGTTATGACGCAGGCTGTTTATCTAATTATTCTAATTATTTTCTATAACATGTACAGTAACACGGGAACATGACGGGAGTATTCTAAAAGGGACTCATGTAAACACCTTAATCACATTATTATCTTAATCAGAGTAAGGTCAGTAATTAGATTACTGCTGTAAATACATGTAAACATAGTTATTGTTAAATCAGTCAGTGGGACACATGCACTTGCTTCTTTTTACAGTCACGTCTATGTCAGCTGCGATCACCGGGATATGCTGCTTCGGCTCTCAGTCCCTCACTGAACAGAGCAAACGCAGAAAGACGTGTGAGTACAGCGGGAAAGCAAGACCTCGCACTTGCAGGACAGTACTGTTCTAAGTTGCTAAGATTTGTCCAAAAAGTCTCTAGATTTTATAATTATGTGTGTGTGTTTTTTTTTGTTTTGTTTAGGTTCTTTTTTTGTTATTTTTTTTTAAAGCCAAAGGGCTCTGAAAAGTCACTAAGTTGCCAACTGACAGCTAGATAAAAGGCATGCTAAGTTCCGTCTCTCCCCAGCAAAAAGAAAATACAGACAGAGAGGGAACACTGGGTTTTTCATTTATATGCAGTCTATTTTAAATGGTGAGAACCACTGTTTATGTGATCATGAAAAGTCATTGTGGCAGCGTGGGTGTGGTCGAGCGTCAGCTGTGGATGGAGAGGAGGCAGGTCAAACCAGCAGGTAACGCATGATGATTCTCACCTGAGTGTAATTAGTGAAAGTTAATTTGTTTGTCTCTTTGTGCTTTCAGTGGCCTTCTGTAGAAGAGAGTGAGAGAGAGCCAGCCAGCACAGAGCTGTGTGTGCGCATGTAGAAATTTAAGCTGCTACAAAGCGAAAGTAAAAGAATGAAGAGCCTTTTGAGTTGTTCCAAGCCTGACTCCAACTTTCTCATTCCCCACCCGAAACTGGGAAGTGTTCCATTTATTTTCCCACACATATTAATTACATATAGATGAATTTAAAACACTCAAATATTCAATCACACACAAGAACAAATCAATCCTTTCCCTTTACATGCTAGTAACTGTTTTCACAAGCCGTTAGGCGAGAGTTATTTTATGAACACAACAGACAATTAGCCAATTTAATACTTCTGGGTTTTTGCTTTTTCTTCGCTTCCACTTTCAAAGTGACGTTTAATGTTTGTACAGCCAATGATAATGATGAACATTGAGGGAGAAACGGGTAGGGTGAGTTCAGCAAAATTGGGACACCAGGTAAAGTGCGACAAATATATTTCATTCTAGCTAGCCCTTTAAATATCAGGAGCCAATACATTTTTAAAGTCATGAATAATTACCACAAAGGTCTTTTCATTGTTCAAATTTCATTGTTCAAATTCCCTTTCAAAGGGAACTTTGACGTTGCATTTAGCATAACAGTATGGGAACGCCTTGTGCCGTGACCGGTATCTGAAGCTTGTGTAATATCATGCCTCTACTTATAGGCCTGCCATGATCAGGTGACGTGGCAATTAAGCGTGTCGCATGATATATATAAGTGCACACTTTCTGGATGAAGTTTCAGTGGTGTAGTATGCAATGGCGGCCTCGAGAGGCTGTGCATGGTAACGCTACATTAAGCAGCTCTACTCGTGCTCTTCTCAAAAAAAACTGAAGCGTGTTGGGTTTCAGAGCCTCGCGGATCTGGGCCGGCTGGTGTCGAGGCAGCCAGCCATCTCAGGTTCGGGGGATCTCTTAAATCTGGAAGAGGAACCAGAGACGAGCACTGCTCTATCTCTTGCTCTGTCTTCCGGGTTTGGCTCTCTGCTGGATTTTGGAGTTCGCATCGCGACTCCTCCTGCCGCTACGGAAAGCCAAAACGGTAATAATTCCTCTCTTTCTCCGAGGAGTTAGAAGGATGTGTTAAAATCTGAGAGCAGCATATAAAGAGCTGCTTGAATTGATTACCCAGTGAAAGTAAATCCCTCACACTGCAGAAACTCCCCTGTCTTAAAGATGTTATGACAAAATCTCAGGCTTCTGGGGGAAAACCACGCATAAGCCATATTCATAACCCCACGATGTTGGATTATTCGGCCATTGTGGGAATGAACGGCATGGCTATTTAGCTATGCCCAAGGTGGAGGAGGCGCTTGCTAGCTACCTCTCTCCACCGCTGGCGGGTAATTATGGCTTACATCCAAGGTGGCATTGGTGGATAAGCCTATGCAGTAGTAGTCTTACTTGTGGGTCACTGCAGACAATGACAGGGTTGCAGGATTACCAAGTAGAACTTCTGAGTGAGCTCGACAGATGACGTGTTGCTCCACGAGTGGAGCCCGGGCCAGCACTAGTGTGAGGGAGACCCAGAAGGCGAGTTTGGCAGCCTCCTCTACATCAGATGCCGAAAATCTTGTGCCTAACTCGACCAATGAAAGTACTCAAGTTACATTTGAGTCATCCCAGCCCGTTTCAATCAGTGTGCGATCTTTTACAGATGATTACAGCAAAGCGCAGCAAGTTGAGTCTTTTTCTCCCGTGCCTGCAGCTTCCATCCCGACAAGACCATTTAAATCAGCTTGGCTACAAGAGTTTGCCTGGTTATGTTATGACAATGGGAAAATGTACTGCACCTTATGTGCTAAAGCAGGACAAGATATTGCTAGTAAAAATCATATGAATGCCAGAGATTATGAGTGCCACCCCAATTGTGAAAGCAGTGCAACATGCTAGTGATTAAGTCGCAGAAAAAGAGATTAGGGAATTGAATATAAAATTCAATGCAGCCTACATGACTCTGAGCCTGAATAAGTAGGAAACAACTAATTGTACATAGCTTAATAAAAAAGTAAAAAAAAATAAAAAGAAACAAATGACTGGACTGGTGGTTAAGCTGGACATTTAAGTATTTACATTTAAGCTGGACATTTAAGTATTTACGGAAATACGACTCAATAATGGGGCAGTGCTGGCTTGGTGGTTAAGGCTCTGGGTTACTGATAGGAAGGTCGGGGGGGTCAAGCCCCAGCACTGCCAAGCAGCCACTGTTGGTCCCTTGAGCAAGACCCTTAGCCGTCCCTGCTCAAGGGGTGCTGCATCATGGCTGACCCTGCACCCTGACCACAGCCTCCTGACATGCTGGGGTATGTGAAGAAAATGATTTCACTGTGCATATGTGTACCTGATCATTAAAGACTCATTTTTAAACATTGTTCTGTGAAATACTGCAGAGTTTCCAGCTGTGTACCATATTTTTTTACAGTGTTTTTACTGTATTCTGAATGACAGTTTTTACCATTGTATTAAAAAAACAATAAAACAGTGAATTTCAATAAATATGGTAACTTACTAGAAGCAGGGTCTCCAGCTGTGTACTGTCATTTTAATGTCTATACTGCATTCTGAATTACTGTTTCTTACCATTCTAATAAAATACATAAAAAATGCTAATGCTAATTACACAATATGATAAGGTAATACTTTATCAATCCCCAGATGGAGAAATTAGTGTGTTATTGTGTACAATACATTAAAGGCTAAATAACAACAAAAATGCATATAAGGCTACATTTAATAAACAGGATAAAAAAAAATATTCAGATAGTATGTATTCAGTACATTATTTATTAAATAAAATGACAGCGCAATCACAACCTTAGAGATAAATCACTGGACGAGTTGTCTAAACAACAGTCTGGAAAAAGTGAATTCGCAGCTTAAAAATTTGTAGGAACAAAAGCACATGTAAACAGGAGACACTTTTTTGGCCGAGGTTGTCACGATTTGGAGGCACAGACAGAAGCAAATGCAGGTATGGTTTAATAAAACAAGTCCAAAGGATAAGGCAGAAGTCAATAATCATGAATAGGCAGAAAACAGGCAAACAGTACAAGTGGCAAGAGAATGTTGAACTTTGGTCCTATCTATTATGTTGTCCAGTTTCTAAATTGAGATCAACTTAACCGTAGTGTTTTCTGTTTAACTACCTTGTTCGTATTTTCCTTTACTACTAGTAGACTTTTGACCATCATGTCATTTGTAAATTGTTACCAGCATAACTCTTATTCATAAGGCTCACTCTGATGCCTTTCTTGTCATGGTATGAGAATAATTTGAATAGCATCAGCATTTTTAATTAAACTTGGCTTTTCTGCACAAGGAGACCAAATGACTAACAAACAAGTTATTTCCACCCACAAACAGACGTGTAATCTTGGCTCTGTATGACTCGCAAAAAGCAGCTTTATACCACCGTTGCCACTGATTGCCCATCATCTGATACATATAATGACACAAAGGCCTTGTACAAATGGTAAATGTGTGAATTTACCCAAAAGAAAGTTGAACCATGGTTCTATCACATAGGCAGTTGAGTCTCTAAGTTGCGCTTCAGGTATAAGTTGTCCACGCTTCACTGTCACGCACTGAGGTGAGATCTGCCATTTGATCTTGAAAATCTCCCTTAATGTCCAGGGAAGGGGAAACCAGTCAGGTTATGCCTTTAAAGGGCTTGTGACTTGTCCTTGAAAAAACTCTTGTCCAGATGTCAGACACTAGTTGCAACAGTCACAGCCCACTACTTGTCTCTGAGTTCCAATGTGTCTTGATCAGCGCAACCATGAACATGTATGCCTTGCACCATGATGCGCTATGAATTTCTTGTAGGGACCTTGTGGCGCAATGGTAGCGTGTCTGACTCCAGATCAGAAGGTTGTGTGTTCAAATCACGTCAGGGTCATCCAATGTGCTCTTTTCACACAGACTCATGATTTTTTGCACTGTCTAATACGGATACTATTAATAATAATACACTTTCTTTTATAAAGCAGCTTCTCAAAGCGCTGTACATAAAATCACAGTTCACTGAAAAATAAAACAAATAAAAGTTAATAAGAACAAAAACAACAACATTAATAATAAAAAATAAATATAAAAGAATCTAAAAAGACGTCAGCAGTCGAATACAAGTTTAAAAAAGTGTGTCTTGAGAAGAGTTTTAAAAATGCCAAAAGATAAGTTTAGCATTGGCGTAGTCTGGCTATATTTCTGAGGTGGATAAAGGATGTCTTCACAGTGCCTGAACAAAAAAATAAAAAGTGAGGCTGGTGTCAAAAATTACACCAAGGTTCCTCATCTTACTTTGGGTCTCTAAAACAGAACCATCAACAGAGAGAGACAGTGGAGCCACTTTGCGAATTTGATGACGGGAACCTATAAGCATGACCTCAGTTTTCCCACTGTTCAGGCACAGAAAGTTATTGTTCATCCATGATTTTATCTCAGAAATACAGTCAGAAAGATAACAAGCATCAATGTTTTTTACCAGATTTAGAGTGAATGTAGATTTGGGTATCGTCAGCATAAAAGTGATAATGAAGGCCAAGCGATCACAGCAGATGCACAAGTGGAGATAGATAAATATTGAAGAGTAGAGGGCCTAAACTGAACCCTGAGGAACACCAGTGATCACCGAGCAAGTGTCAGACCTAAAGCCACACATAGAAAAAATAGAATAAAATAGAATTTAAACCAGTTTAAAACTGTCCCGGACACACCAAAAACACTTTCAAGGCAGGTAAGTAAAAGACCATGATCCACAGTATCGAAGGCTGCTCTAAGGTCAAGAAGAATAAGACATGAGGTAGCTCCAGAATCAGAGGCCATCAACAAGTCATTGGTAACTTTGACCAACGACATTTCAGTGCTGTGAAATTTACGAAAACCTGATTGAAGGGATTCAAAGAGGCTGATTTCATGCTGGATACCTCCCTTGTGAGAGTCTCAGAATTAAGCCGTGAGAAATGAGTGAAAGCAACACCAGTGACCTCAGATGGATGAAGGAGTGAAGTGGCACAGTCAGGATTAACAGAATTTTCTTTGCAAACATTGACAATCTTAGAATTAAAAAACTATAGAAAAGAATGACAGAGCTGCTGAGAAACAGGCAAAGTGGTAACAGCATTAACTTGAAGCAATCTGTTTATGGTTTGGAACAAGTGTCTGGGATTATTTTGATTATTTACAATAGCCTGAGAGAAGTAAGAGGATCTTTCAGTCTCCAGTAGTGCAAGATAATCCCCCAGAAGATCCTTCCACACTTGATAGTAGACACTCAGTCCAGTAAGGCACCATTTTTGCTCCATTTTCCGACATACAGCCTTTCTAGAGCGCAGATTGTCATTATACAAGGGAGCAGAGCGGGCGAATGTAACCTTACATGACCTTAGAGGAGCAAAAGTGTCAAAATTATCAGCAAGAGTGGAATTTAGCTGCAGAACTTTCTCCTCCAGTGATGAGGGATGAAGATCACTTAGGATGGAAACCACAGAATTGGAGAAAGCTGTCTGATCGATAGACTTCCACTACCGGAAGGTTACTGTTCGGATGCGAGGCTCACTTGAATGATACAGTTCGGAGAAGACGAGAAAGCAAGACTGTGCCTCAAACCCTGATGGATATATCGCTTAGGACGTAGCAGTCCAGCATCTCGACAGAGATTGTTAGAGTCTTTGGCTAGGCAATAACAGTTCTGTTTTAGATTCAACCGCTGGCGTGTTGTGTACCTTAGTGCCATGGTCTATGAATAAACTATAAGCATTTTTGTTATTCACAGACCGCACATTGAATAATGCGGCATAAGCCAGGCTCTGAAGCGGAGACGACGGTGGTCTAATCTCCACGCGGGGAACAGATATTAAATTACTGTGATCAACACCAGTATGGAGCAGTTTGTTGGTCTTACGGCGACAGATAGGGACATAGATGTTAGGAGACGACTGTGCCTCAAACCCCGATGGAAATATTGCAGAGGACGTAGCAGTCCAGCATCTCGACAGAGATTGTAAGAGTCTTTGGCTAGGCAATAACAGTTCTGTTTTAGATTCAACCGCTGGCGTGTTGTGTACCTTAGTGCCATGGTCTATGAATAAACTATAAGCAAATGAAACTCCTGAGCGCACTGCGAGCACAAAGTCGTACAATCCTCACACACAGTCCACACACACAGTCGAGCCGAGGTGTTGATTCAGAGTTACACGTTGCAGGTTATTCCAGGTGGAGCACAGAAATAAAAACTACAGTCCAAAATATATAAAATGGCACCACCACATCGCAATCGTAATGGCACTAAAAACAATGTAACTTAAAAAACTCACAGTTATTAAAAAATAAATAAATATGGCTTAAAATAACAAACAAAAACAAACCAAACGGTAACAGGAGCGGCAGCAAAACACAACAGCGTACCCTGTCACCAGAATCGGACAGCTATTATATAGACTCAAATCTGTTTAATACTTGACTCCACCTAGGGTGTGCATTATTTTTCAAATAATCCAATGGCCGGTAGTCAATCATTGCTTACATATAATAATGATAAATTGTGACAACTCAGATCCTGTTACAAAATGAGGAATAGCATTAGCAATAGTGAGCTAGCCACTTGATAGTTAAAAAGGCTATATTAGCTAAATTGGTACTCTCTTATTTTATTAGCTTTCAATGATGGCCATGCAATGATTTAATTAAAAGTGAGAGAGAGAGAGAGAGAGAGAGAGAGAGAGAGAGGGAGAGAGAGATGCATGTGTGCTTTGTGTTGCAGTTATGTTTGTGTTTTAAGTTATTTTTGAGTTTTTTTATGATTAAATTTTATGTTTATGTTCAGCCGGTTCTCGCCTCCTCCTTGTCCATCTTTAAAGTTTGTTACATTGACTAATTCAGTAAAATTATTTATGCATGAAGTTATTAACAACACAGTTAAATTTACTAAAGTGAAGAGTGCAGTACATTCTAGAGAAGATATTTTACTACTTGTTTTGGGTGAATTGGTCAAACCATTTAGAAGATATTTAATTTTTTTCCCCAAATAAAAATGTATTACATTTCAGTAACAAATATAGGCTACCTGCCAAAGTGAGAGGTTTAGTATATTATATTTTCTGGTGCAATATATGTCACAACTTGTTTTAACAATAGTTCTGACTATTTAGAAGCTTTTTCCAAACTTTAAAAAAAATTAAAAAATCTGTAATAGTTAAAATAGTTGTAATAGTTAAAACTAAACCAGTACTGCATATATTTTCTCCAAATAAAAATGGATTAAGTCAGTAAGAGTTTAAGAGTTTGGTTGTGTATAACAATAATTTACACATTTTAACTTTTTTGAGTTACTGTTCAAAAGCTATTGATGACAGAAATCTGAATTTTTTTTATTCCTAGCTGGGTATGGACAGGATTTCTCCCTCCTACTGAACCAATAGACTATAAAAATAGGCATATAATGTATTGTACTGCAATTGTCACGGGGTTGTAGATGGGAGACAGAGGCAATCGCAGATCAAACCCTTTATTAAATGAAAACATAAAGATCAAACAAACAAAGCATGAATAAACCTGAAGTCCGCTACACCTATAGTAATGTGACCATAACTAGAACGACTCCCACTAGTGTTACCACCACTTCGATAATACCGAGCCACGTGCTTCATTGCTCAGGAGCCTTAAATACCCAGCGTTTGCCCAAACTAAAAATAATTACCATAATGCCAAACACTGTGTCAAATCAGGAAGTACAAACCAAAACAAAGAACACATGATTGGTCCGATGGCAAAACCCAGTGCCACAGTGCCCTCTGCTGGCCGCACTGTGACAGAACTTCCCCCAGAGTGCCCAAAGTCCTCCACCTTTCACTGGCTGCCCCGGACCTCTGGGCCGAACGTCCCATGCATCACCAGGCAGACACCGTCCTGAGTTCCTGGCTGAGCCTGGGAGCGGAATGCTGTACATAGTCATATGAAGGATCAGAGTGTCGCTTTCAGGGGAGACGAGAGGCTGAGCGACTTCCCCGGGAAAACAGGGATGCTGAGTGACGTCCTCACCAGAGCAGAGATGCTGAACGACGTCCTCAGGAGAGCAGAGATGCTGAGTGACTTCCCCAGCGGAACAGGCAGGCTGGGCGGCGTCCCCAGCGAAGCAGGCAGGCTGGGCGGCATCCCCAGCGAAGCAGGCAGGCTGGGTGGCGTCCCCAGTGGAACAGAGAGACTGGGCGGCGTCCCCAGCGGAACAGACAAAGCTCTGAGGTGTGGCCAGAACAGCGCTCAGGCGTAGCGAGAAACAGGAATAAAAACATGACAAGAGCTTGAAATCTGACGAGAAACATGACTGGGGCTAGAAACATGACACGGGACGTGGTGAAAGGCATGACGTGAGCTAGGGACGGGGCTAGAGACGTGACGTGAGCTAGGGACGTGGCGAGAGGCGTGACGTGAGCTAGGGACGAGGCGTGAGCTAGGGACGTGGCGAGAGGCGTGACGTGAGCTAGGGAAGTGGCGAGAGGCATGACGTGAGCTAGGGACATGGCGAGAGACATGACGTGAGCTAGGGACGTGGCGAGAGGCATAACGTGAGCTAGGGACGTGGCGAGAGGCATGACGTGGGCTAGGGACATGGCTAGAGGCATGACGTGGGCTAGGGACGTGGCTAGAGGCATGACGTAAGCTAGGTACGGGGCTAAAGACATGACATGAGCCAGTGACATGGCGAGTGTGTCGGGGCCATGAAGCAGAGCTGTGGAGTTGGAATCATAAGGCAGAGCAGTGGCACAGCCACGGGACGGGACTTGGACCGGGGATATGACAGGAACCGGGACCTGGGGCATACCAGGGACTGGGACCAGGGATAGAACAGGGACCGGGACATGGGACGTGGCAGGGACATGGACTGAGACCTGGAGCGGAACA